GACAAATTAAACCCCCCCCCCCCCCAAATATCCTGGAACAGGATTAGGTGCGGGAGGATGAGAGACATACTACGTTTGGAGCTGACATAGTTCATTCCTCATTATGTATTTGACATTAAAAGGGAAGGGAAAAAATAGAACTCCCCATCCTTCAATATAGAGTGAACCTGGAAGGCATTTGTGTTTTTTCAGAGCCTTTGATATCTAACTCCCCCACTAGAATAAAATGCTGATAATCCACTCTAAGCCCACCCCACCTCTAGCCATATTTCTGAAGACTTACATTTTGCTTACCCATGTTGCTCTGCTGAACTGGGAATGAGTTAATTACATGTATCTGAAAATAAAGCTCATACTTTGATTCTGTTTCAAATAAGTTAATGCAACACATTTTTATTCATATATTCTGCAGTATGAAAAAATGCTGGTGGAAAAGTGCTCAGAGCTCACCACAGTTACTGAAAGGTAATATTAAACATCATTGATTCTTGGACTTTTACCTTAGCAAACCTATCTTAAAAAATTATGGATGCCCTTAATGGGTTGAAGAGCTAAGACATTATAATGGATTTGAAACCAGTAGGCCCCTTCCACTAGCAGAGAAAGTCTTCCCTTTGGATTAGTGGGTAACACTGAACTTGTGCAGTAGGGATTCAATATATATTTTGTGGAACAGTTTTCTTAATAGAAAAGAATGGGAAATCCCTGGGCCACATAACTATACATCCGTGGTTCACAAACTGTGGTAATCATATTAATTTATGAATTTTAGTTTAGGTTAAAATTTATGCTATAGAGCTGCTATAGATGCTAGAACATCTTGAATGTATCTTAGTTTATAAGTTAGGGCACCACTGGGCTGAATCTTTGGTGTCTTTTTTTTAACATTTCCTTTCAGGTGCATACAGATTGAAGATGAACAAATATTAAAGTCAATGAAATCTTGTATTAATGATGCACTAACCACAGTGGCACAGTATTTTGGCCAGTTGATAGAACTAGCTCTAACACATGAAATAAAGGTTAGTATGCTTTTTCCTTCCAACAGTAAAAAAAATGGCAGTGCTTCTATTTATATCTATTTATATCTCTTAAGATATCCTGAAGCATTTTGTTGTCTCTAGAGACTTATCACCAATGTCCTTAATACTAAGAGAATACTAAGACTGGGAATATAGTGTGATTGTTGCCACCCTGTGCAGTCTAAACATCCTGGTGCATTAATCTCAGTCATGCCATGCTTGTATTCCTAACATGAATGTACTCTACAGTGTCAGTAAAGATATTGTTTGTTCTGTAAGTCAAATGTTAAAGTAACTATAGGAGCACAGAAAATGTCTCAGTTAAACTGTGACATAAAAGTAAAATCTTCCTTGCATCAAAGTTGACTCCTGGTGACAGTATGAATAAAGCCATGCTGATTTCTTGGCAACTGAACAATTCCAAAGAAGTTTGTTCCTGCCTTCTTTCAGAATGTTTTTTTCTGGCTTTGTTGGAGTCTGATTGGGGCAGCAAAGCTATCTGTTTCAGGTCTAACATATTCTGCAGGTAGACAGATAGGGGAGGGACCTGATTACCTGGGAGGAGCTGTTGACACTTGAGACTCAAAATGGCATGCTGGTAATGGCTGGCCAGGAAAAAAGGTGAGGGGTGGCGGGAGGAAGGAAAAGGCTGTAAGAAGAAGGCAAGAAAGAAGCAAAAGGAGAAAGAAGTAAGAAATTCAAAGAAGTTAGAAAATGGTGGGGCAAGAGGTATTTTCATCCCAGATTGCCCAGTATCCCAGACACTGGACTGGGGAGATGGTCTTGGAATCCAGTAAAGACAACAATGAAGGAGAACCATACAGGATCAACAAGCTCAGCTGTATTTTCCAATGGGGGGGGGTGGCTCTGGGAGAAGAAGGGGGTACAACATAGAAAAGGGAGAGTCTTTTCTTATCTTTCCCCACCTCCAAAGAAGCTAGTAGTTTTCCAGTTGTATTCACAGCCTGGGCTAGAGGAGTGAAGAACCTATCTGGTTAAGGGAGAAGAGCACCAGTCAGTTGTGTCCAGAGAAGCTAACTCAATGATGACTAAGAACACCAATGGCAAGTAGCCTTGGAAGATGGCGGGGTGGGAAGAGGGAGGAGAAGAAAAGGAAAGAGACAGTAAAACCCCACTTCAGTAGACATATGAAATGGGTTTGGGGCCTCTACAGAACTAAGGAGAGAAAGAATATTTAATCATACCTTTGTCATTACCCAAATATTGTGAAGTCTGGAATATATTCCATGCCTTTCCAGCGACTTGTATCCCAATAATGTTGCTTCTCTATGAAAGTTAGTAGTCTGTACATAGTACTTGAAGAAGAGCAGTATTTCACTTCCAGTTTGAATGTAAGGCTGATTTACTCCATAAATGTCCTAAGAGCAAAGTCTTACTTAATTCCTTTTTGTCTATGTTTTTGATTTGTTATGCAGAACTTGGTGAAGGAAATAGATTCATCAGATAACCTGTACTCTGTAGAATCAGCTGTCAGCAACTTATTCAGCCTCACGCAAGAAGGATCTCATTTGTGTCACATCATAGCAAAGGCAAGTTCTGCTTGGGATGATTCTAGAACAACTATCTGTTGAGTTCCAGATGATGGTGGCCTCCATTTGTAATGTTTTGTCCTTCCTCTCCCAACATTATAATGTAGTTTTTTCTTTCCAGAGAAAATAATCAGCATCATAGGCTCCTGTTCTTAAAACCTAAGAGTTACCTACAGCCACTTTAAACTGAACTATTGGTAGCATTTCATCTCAAAGTGTATATTCCCCATCTCTCCATATTTTTATTTTTCATCAGTAATGATTTTAATGTCGGTCAAAAATGTCCCGCTTCATCTTTGTAGGGAACACATGGATTTGAGAAAAGGAGGGATATTGTACTCAAACATAGCTCTAATTTTGCTAGATGTTCCTCACTGGCAGAAGCAAGTGTTAGTGGCTAATAGATTTAACAGTACTGACAACTGTAATGCAAGAAAGAGAGTCTACATAATACTGCTTAGCATTTCAGGTTTTAGCAATATTTCTCCGTAATTCTCACAATAACTACTTCTGTATGTGTGTCTGCCTTCAAGTCAGTCTTGAGTCCTGGCAATCATGACTTGTCCATGAAGTTTGCTTGGCAAGATTTTCAGAAGTGGCTTGCCATTTCCTTCTTCATGGGGCTGAGAAAGGGTGACTGGCCTAAAGTCACCCAGTTGGCTTTGTGCCTAAGGCAAGACAGAATTCCTGGTTTCCTGGTTTCTAGCCTAGTGCCTTCAGCTACTACACCAAATTGGGTCTTAACGACATAATTTAGGCAGTTGCTATTATTCCTTTATAGGCTAATGGAAAGTATTGGTGCTAGAAGAATAATTCATATGACTGAGCGCAGACCAAAAAAAAAAAAAAATTCATGTCAAAGTAGTTGTAATATTAAATGTGACTTTGCATTGCACCCCTGGGATTTCTCTCTTGGTTTATTATAGTAGTCTCACCACTTCTGATTTGGATCAGGCATGGTAGAAGTGTTAGTTCAATAAAAATAGCCTAGAATGAGAGAACTTCTAGTGGAAAAGCTGAACTGGAGAAAAAAGTTAGTTCCCCAAAGAGGGAAGAGAATTCAAAGCTGGAGACTCAAAGACCTGCTCAAAGTCATTGCTGTTTTGTTCCTTAGCTTTTGTACTGCATTATAGCACTTACCAATTCCTTACATATTAGTCCATTTTAAAGAAGTAATGTAATATAACAAAATGAGGGAAAGCTTTGAGATCACAAATGATAAAACAATTGATAAAACACAAATGATAAGGATGGATTCTTATACTTTCTAAATTCTTTGTTAAATTTATTTAGCTTTTATCACAGGTAAGAGCAAAGCAAGTGGGTAATGACCCACAATGATTTTTTAAAATTTAGGATATGATTTTTATCACCAACAATTCCCCCTCCCCCAAAATCATTGATGTAAAAGCTGGCCTTATGAATGCCTGTATATCTAAGATATCTTCCCCACCATAAGCCTCAAACATGACTGACAGTATACACATTTTAAATAAATGAAATTAACTTACTTTCTCTCACAGAGTGGTAGAAATATATTTGTCTGTCTATTATCACAGGCAAAAGTGTGAAAATCAATGGGGTTTTAATAAAAGAAATTGAATAGATCACCATTAAAGTCCTTCTTAGCCTAGTGTCTTCTGATATTTAGAAGTCCTCTTTATTACTCCTGCTTTACCAGCCTGTGCCAGCAAGACTATTTAATACCTGAGTACAAAAAGTCTTAAAAATGTTAAGCAATTTATTTTCCCTTGGTTTAGGTTTATGGGAGGGTTAAGCTCCTTCTCATCTTTGAACTGTATGTCCAAATAACCTACTGTCTTCATAAGTCTCCTTGGAACCCATTTCCAAATTGCCAACATCTTACTGGAGGTCTGTGATTCTCAACCCTCAAGAAACTGGACATTAGACCTGTGATTTGATGTGTACGGTATTGGAAATGTGAGATTCAGAAGAATGTAAGTCAGGTTTGCAAACTCAGATTGAATTTGACTTGAGCCACTTTGAGATTCAGAGAGATTATTTGAAAAAAAAAGTGTCCTTAGGCTATAATATGAAAGTATTAAAACATTTGCAGCTGCTTCATTTTTTGCAGAATGGAATCAAAATAACAAGGATGATAATCCTCTAAAGCAGTGTTTCTCAACCTTGGCAGCTTGAAGATGTGTGGACTTCAACTCCCAGAATTCCCCAGCCAGCATGCTGGC